TTTGCATTTTCACTCCAAAGGGGAAAATGAAGAGACAGGATGATGATACAGCATAGAGGAGAGAAATGAGAGAAAAAAATATATTGACCGTTTCTCAATAGTAGATGGTAAATATATTATGCCGTCTCTTCAGAGTAGGCATAATTTATTCTGCAAAACCTGCAGAAGGAAACAAGTGAAGTGGATGACGAGTATATGTAATGCCTTATGTGATCATTTCTTAATTTGATTGCGTATAAAGGGACTGCCCTTTAGTAAACAAGATGGAAGAAAGGGATAGTCCACGTTTCTGCATATGGAGACATGTTGCCTTCCTGTGGTTCTTTCCAGCTTATTGGCGTGTTGCCGAGATGTCTTCCTTCCTCCCTGTCTATAAGATTAGCATGATTTTCTCAGTTTTAACCAACTTACATGAATTTGCATCTTGATCAAGCAATTCTTTTTCCTTCTGACATTCTATTCTGTCATATGGATTTTTCTAGAATTAAAAAATGCTTTGGGACTAAGTGACTGAGTAATGTGTGCATGTATATACACATTACACATACACTTCAATATACCAATATTTTCTCTTTCACAAAAGCCACCTGCAACTTTGCCGTGCAGTTTGATAACTAGATAGACTGAGCTTCAAGAGCAAGGGGCAGGTGACCAAATTCTGCAGTTTTTCTGTCAGCTTCCGTTAGTGGAGCAAGGCATCAGGGGTAAAGCAAGGAGAGCAACCAGATTAGCACCAATATTTTTACTTTAAGAGAGAACACACAGTGTCTTTTTATCCTTTGGAATTTGATTCATTGCTTGTGGTGATTTCTAACTTCACAGACTAAACATTTCTAATTGGTAAATGCATGGTTTGGGTCTGAGATGGTGACTCAGGAAATAAACTTTCCAATTTGGGGTAATTGTTTTTGAGTAGATGGTAAATTATTGCTTACGGGTCTTCATGTTGTCTTTGAGGATAGAATGAAAGTTAATATCCATATTTCACACTTCATTGAAAAAAAAAAATACTTCTCCTGACACAGATGAAGTAGTGAGACAGAGAGAGGTTTGCCGTGCTTATTTGTTGCAACCAAACATATTAAAGATTTTTTATGATGAATGAGAAAAACACTCGCTGTATATTACATGTCTTCAACTGTAAAATAGGGACAATAAAACCCACTACTTCTTGGGTCAGTTGCTGTGAGAATTAAATAGATAATTCACATGAAGAACTCAAAACTGTGTCTGGCACACCATAATCAGGAAATATTGTTATTATTGTTTATTATCAGAACCATCATTTTTCATTCATGCCTGTTAAATAGTATAGTTTCTTTTGTTATATAATGTTAAGCTTCAAATTTTACAGCTTCATGATGGTTAGCCCATGAGAGATATTAATAATTGAATTAATTCATAAGGCATCATTTGGTTACCAATATGATTTATATACTGAAAATATTTGGGGATTTTTTGAAATATCTTTTTAAAAGATTTTACAACTCTTTTTAATGGCTTACCCTATCTTTTGATTATCCTACTGTAGCAGGAAATCGACGCAGGCAGAAGACCCCAGGCACTAGTTGGAAGAGGAAGTGGTTTTATTTCCGGCCGGGAGGCTCGGTGGTGTAGTGTCCTAAAAACCGAGCCCTCCCGACTTAATGTCTGGCCTCTCTTTTATACATTTTTTAGGGCTAGGGTGCACATGAGGGTCGTGAAGGATGTGAGAGACATGACAGATGTGAAAGATGTTTGCCGTGCTTATTTGTTGCAACCAAACATATTAAAGAGTTTTTGAGTCTTGGGACTCAAGGGGAAGGTCAGGTTGGCCCGCGCCCTTGGTACCAGTTGGGGTACCTGTCCTCAAAGGCGACGGAAGGTTAAGGAAGTTACAAGGTTACCATCTAGGCCCAGCATATACCAAGGGAAGGGCATACAGATAACAGAGACATCTGTTAGCACCGAGGAGAGTAATGAATGGTGCAGTGGGTACCCAAAGGAAGAAACCTGCAGTAGAGGTAGGAGTGGTCCAGACTGTCTGGCTAATGCCTGTACAGAGTGACCAGGACAGATCTTTAGCTCTGCTTTTACTCTCATGCTTCACTACAAGTTCATGATTTCTTTCTTCTTATTCCAGATCACACATTTTCTTTTGTTTTAGCCTTTGTGGAGTCAGAGATAGATAACTTGTCATAATGCACTTAAAGTAGTTGTGCTGAAGAATTTACTGTTTCCCCATTCAATCTGCCCTTTGGAATTTGAAGGGTAAACTACTTCCTAAAGTTGCTTTTTTGCTATTACTGTTGTTTATTATTCATTGGTTGTACGATAAGCTTACCTTTTCGTACCATGAGATTGTTATTCAGTACATTTGGTTCCTAAATACTAAAAACTGGTAACTTCATGGTGTGGAAAATTAATTTCTCAAAATGCCATCTCTCACCCAGAAAATCACTGCTTTAGTCAAAAAATTGGCCCATCGTTACTGGTTTTACCAGTTTACCAACAGGCAAATTAATATTTATTTTCTTTTTTAATTAGTGAATGCATTAGTTATTTCTAATTTCATTTCTACTTGTGTAATGGCTAGATGACATAGTGCAAAAATTAAACATTTCCTTCTCACTAAGTACTAAGTTCCAGAAGGTAAAGTGTGTGTGACTCCCAGGCACATGCCGCTACACCTGTTACACGCCAGGGACTGCTGCAGCACCTGGCACAGAGAAGGTGTTCAGGAAATGCCTCTAGACAGTTTCACTTGAAGATCTCAAGGAACCTTAAACTTGACTCCTGTAAAACGGAACTCAAAGCTTCCTTCCCCAGAAGAGGAGGGCTTCTGTGTGTCCCATCCCAGGGAAGTGCTAACTCCCTTATAGCCACCTTCAGTGGCCAAGTTCTCTCTATTCTATCTCCTAAAAATCCCCTGGAGTCACTCAACTTTCTGCCACCCCAGTGCTGCTGCCTAGGACCACCCAAGTTGTGTCTCACCTGGCCTCTCTTTTAGAATCTCCTTTTGTGGCCAGAGTCATCTTTCTAATGCCACACTGTACCCTTTAATAGCTCCCTGTTACTCTTGGATAAAGCTCCCTTTACTGTGCTCTGGCTTTTCCAGTATATTTAAGAGAAAGTGCATGTGGAGACCCCTGGATCTTCTTCCCTAGCTGTCCTCATTCTCATACCAAAAATTAACTGGAGCTCCCTAAAGGCACTTGACCACCTTCACCTCTGTATCCTCCTGCTTAGAACACTCACCTTCTTTTTCTGTCTCTTTTGCCCAGCTTTTTTCCAAGCTTCCAAATATGTTGCTATACAGTCTTTAGATCCTTTTTCTCTAACACAGGCTTCCAAACAGCTTTATACTTTTTTTTTTACATCTAGTTTTTAAATCTACTTTTTAGAAACCACTGTAAAGCAGTTGGTCTTGCTTCCATTTCAGCAGATGGAGAAACTGAAGCATCACATTTTAAGAAATTTATGCTATTATTAATAAATTATATACATCTTAATGGGCAGAGAAGGGAACTAGTTCTGTGTTTTATATCTGGTTTTTGGATGGTGCCTGGGATGGAGTAGGCATTCAGTGTACCTTGAATGAACTATTGAATGAGTTTCAATTTGAGCCTGAGGTACCTCTCTTGAATCACTGGAGCTTCTGTTTCATCATTTATTCTCTAGGACAAATGAGGCTGCATTCCTCTGTGGGCCTTCTTCTTCCAGATAGGAAATATGCCTGGTGTGAGAGTCTGGAAGCCTGTGTTGCTCTGAGTTATTCTGGTAAATTCCTTTAATATTGGTTGGCATGGTGGAGAAGGGCTTTTGTTTTGGATACAATTAATAATGGTTTGCACATTTAGTAATTTACAAAATGGTGGACGCTTGCACAATATAAGAAACACCCCTCTCTCCTGGACCATGGAATTTGGTGACCCGATGACTTAATTACATGGCTTGTTATACATGTTTCAGCTGTAGTGACAATTGGTACTCAACCCCTGAGTCACTTCAATGCATTTCTGATCAGGATTTTTTTTTTTCCTTGTAGGTTGTTCTTCAGAAAAAATGGTCATTTCTTTGAAGTCATGCCTGAACTTTATGTGTTTATTGTTATGCCATTGGATTGGGACGGCATTACCTCTGAATCTTGAAGACCCCAATGTGTGTAGCCACTGGGAAAGGTAATGGTTCTGAAAGCAGCCTGAGAGATAATCGCTGATAAGTTCCTTTTATGCCATCATCATGGGTCTGGTGCATAAAATTACCATTTGAGAAGAGATGGTGAAATTACTTTTATGGGGAAATAATTGGTTATAGCTTATAAATTGGTTAGTATTACTCACATTGGTCTTATATATGATGTGAAAAAACCTTGATATATCTGATTCCAACATAGGTACCACTGTAAGATCCAGGGAAATGGATTAATAGCTAATTATAATGATCTCAGGGCTTATTTCTGCTTTGAGTCAATTTGTAGTAATTTTGGGGTGCTGCATTTGTGCGTGGGAACGCATGAGTAAGAAATGGAAGGTAGCGTGAAATAATTCAGCAAACCAAAGTGTTGAAATATATAGGATAAAAAAATGTGCTGGAGACAGCTTGAAAAGGGAGATCGGAATTTTTGGAGGCCATGGCAAGACTGCATAGGGGGAGCGTCCCCTGAGATGCTGTTGAAGA